GGAGGAGGCTACAATGCTTGATAAGAAATGTACTCATTATCTTGCCCATGTAATTGTAACCCCTCTGTACAGTATTTTCACAATAAAAAATAAATAAAAAATTCAAAAAAAAACTTTAGGAAAGGGGGGAAGATGGAAAAGGGAAAGGGGGAGTGTTAGAGGAAGGGGTCAGATTGAATGGAGTATGTTGTGTATCATGAGTGGAAATGTCATAATAAAATCCCCTCCTATGTTACTGATATCAGCTAATAAACATTTTAAACAAACAATAAAACCTTTCCTCCAAAATTATAGAAATACATGTGCTTACTGCAACTACTCAGATCATGCCCACCCCCCAAGGAATTTAAATACTCGTGGCTTTCCCATCATATCCTCTACTATTTCAGAAGCCTGGGCTCCTCTTGACAGGGTCTGTCCCCACCCCATCCTATGTACCTTGCAGGTGGGGGTAGGAGTAGGGAGGAGCTGGTGATAGAGCAAAGCAGTTAGTCCAGAATATGGGAAATGTGGGGTTTTGATTTTACTCTTCACCCCACTATCATTTTTTCTTAACTTTTAAAGTTTCAAGTCATTTTAAACTTGGAGGGGAAAAATATAAGTACAAAGAACTCCCCACACCCTTCACTCAGGATTCCTTGTACCTTTGAACCTCCTCATAATTCCTATGGCATACTTTGTGGCCAAAGGAACCACCTGACTAACTCACCTGTCACATCTCTCTTCCTCAGTCATTCTTCAGCTTTGCTGACGTTGGCCATGGATGATCACAAACCAGTCATTTTGAGAAATGTCTTCCTATTTTGTGTGTTCATTGTTTCTTCTCGATGGATTCATGTAATGGAATATCAGGGGTGATTGTTTATTCTCACCATGACTGATCAGATAGCATATGGTGTCAGTTGGCCATTACAGAAGCATACTTTGGTCACTTATTTACTTTGGTTACTTAATGCGTGTGGTGCCTGGTGGTCTGCAGTTACATTCCCCCCATTGTCATTAGTCAGTAACTTGTAGAGAGAGTTTGAAGTTGTAGAAGATTCTATCCCTCAGCTTTACTTTTACCAAGTAGATAAAGCACTTAATATTGTTTCTTTCCTAAAATCATTGTAATAGTTATCAGATAGCCATTTTTACCACTTATTTTTACATTTGTTTTTTGTCATTATACTATAAAAGTTTCCTCTTTTACCATTTACTCTTATGCTTATTTATTTATTTCATTGTGCACTCATGAGCAGGCCTTTCTCTCTTGTTTTCTTCAGAGTTATAATCCATTGTTATGTTATTTTATGTATATAATATCCCAATATTTCTAGAAGGAATCCTGTAAATTGACTTCTGTGTCAATTTTATATCTATCATTTAGGAAGCACATCCTTGTTTTCTGGTAAAGCTGTTCCAAGCATTTCTAATTTTTAATTAATATAAAGGAGTTTCATTTTTATACATCCATACATGTATAGAATATGCTTTGATCAAATTCACTTTATTTATTATTCTTTCTTATCCTTCCTTTTTCTACAGTTTTAATGGATTTCATTATTCTATTTTCATACATGTGTATAATGTATTTCGACCATATTTACCCTCCATCCCCCTCTTGTTTCCCTCCCTTTATAGTCCCTCTACTGATAGTTTCCCTTTTGTGCAGTCATAATATTCAATGTATATATGTGAAAATGGAGCCAAATAATTTGAGGGGATGGCTGGGGTTGGGACAGATCAGAGAGAGAGAAAGATGCAAGGGATGGCATTGATCAAGATGCATGGTACTCATAAACTGACATGTTGAATTGAAACCCCTTGTACAACTAAGGAATATATATATATATATATATATATATGTATATGTATATATATATATAATGTGAAGACATTTTTACATTATTTTAAAACAATAATTAAAATAGATTACCAGAAGCACAGTGGGACTGCAGTAGTCTCTTGCAGTACTGCTTGAAATCTAATTTGCTCACTACTGACTTTATCACAGCCTTCAATGATCTTTGCTCCTCCTGATCCTTTCTCCATTGGGGACTGTCTTCATTGTTCAAAGGTTCTGCCTTTGAGTTTAAAGGGAAAGATCTACCAGTTTGCTTCACTTGTTCACTCAGTCATTCTTCCACATATTTATTCACTGACTATTTGTTGCAGGTTTACTGTGTGCCTGAGGCAGCCTGCATAGATTAACTTCTTCACCCAAATCCCTACCTGACCTGAACTGTGTATCTGATGTTTCTTGTTCTTAGTTCTGCACAGTCCTCTCCTGAGTGCATGGCTGAGTCAGATTATCAGGGTATGTAAAAGGGAAGGCCTAATAGGAGTGTGAAGAAAGTAGAACCTTGAGCCAGCCAGACCCTAGAGAGCAGGTATGAGAACAACTCCTCAGAAAGAAGCACTCCCTCCCACTCAGTTGTCGGCTCCTCCCATAGAGGAACAGTAAGTAACCCAGCCAAAACAGGGTGCTTCCCAGCTGAGTTGCCTCCCTTCTAGTCATCTTCTGCACAGGCAGGAGGGAACATGAAGGAAGTACATACCTCACAACTTGTGGTTGCTGAAACCCAGCTCTGACCTGTGTTCCCCTTCTCTACCTCCCACCCCATTTTTCTCCTTTTCCTTACTAGTTCTTTGAAGGAGCAGATTGCTTGGGGACCCAGAAGTATGAGGAGGCCACGGTGTCAACTTAGTTAGGCAACTGTTTTTAGGCTTGTAGAGGGACAGAGAACAGCTGCACATTACCTTGGTAGCTGAGCCTATCTGGGCCTAACGGTTTCCTCTGGGTAAGCACTTCCGCCCTCCTGTCTGTGAAATAGAAGACCTGTGTCGGGGTGGCCCTTTGCTGAGCAGGAAGGAGCACCAGTTAGAGGGAGAAGGGAAAAGTTGGATGGATATGGAAGTATACATCTGTAATTCCAGCATTGAGACGACTGAGGCAGGAAAATCATGAGTTTGAGGCCAGCTACCAAGTGAGGCCCTCTCAAATATAAAAAAAGGACTAGAGGAAGGCCCCAGGCAGGTTTAGAAGATATTGTTACAATCTTCCTATCACTATTTCAATCCTGAGCTTTTAAAAGGAAGAAAGGAAAAGTCACAAGCACAAGTGTTTACTACAGGTTACAGGAAAGTTCCTTTCTTGCTACCAACTCTGCTCTAGTAGAGTGGGGGCTCTTTCACTGAGTCCCAGAGTGTCTGGCTCTAAATAAAAACATAAGGGAGCCAGGTTCATCCGAACCTTATTCCTAAAACTAAACACTATTTAAAAAACACTCTTTCCGGAGTTGGGAAGGTGGCTCAGTGGTAGAGCGCTTGCCTTGCATGCATGAGGCCCTGGGTTCGATTCCTCAGCACCACATAAGCAAAAAGAAAAAAGCCAGAAGTGGCGCTGTGGCTCAAGTGGTAGAACGCTAGCCTTGAGCTGAAGAGCTGAGGGATAGCGCACAGGCCCAGAGTTCAGGCCCCACGACTGGACCAAAAAAAAAAATACTCTTTCCAGTGCGCCCATCATATTAGAATGGCGAAGAAAATATGAATCAGAGATGGTCAGTGACTTCTTTAAGGAAACACAGATAGAAAGTAGCAGAGCTGGAATTCAGCATTCTACCCTGTCCGTTTCTCACATCAAGTGTGTGAAGGGGGGAGGGAGAAATCTCTCTTGCCCCTGAGATAAATCAACTTGTGAGCTCACTCTGGCTGCTAGCACTTTAGAAAGTCCCACCTTAAAGGTTCTACACTAGGAAGGTAACCATGTCCCTATGATTAGTAGAGCCTGGCAGGTAGTCCAAAGAGAGTGCTGCCCTGAGAAGCAAGGGCAGGGCAAGTTCTCTGATTATTAGTATCTCTATGTCCATCTTCGCAGCATTCACCAGCACCTGTCACCCTGTTCACTCCTGGGATGAGCTGGGGGACACAACTGGGGAGAAAAGGACTAGACTTTAAGAATGCTATATAGTAACAACCCTCCCACCCTCCCATAACAGCCTTGCAGCCTCTGCCTGGGACAGTCCTAGGGGAGTGTTACTGACCCTGGGCCTGTGGGAATTGGATATTTAAGATCTTGCCCTTTACTATATTTAATAGGAATGTGGGAGCCGAACTTTCCACAAATCCCAATGCATGAATCAAAGCAGATTTGATGTACTGCTGCAAGGAGCTTGGAAAACTACCTGCCTCCTCATCCCCATATACAGATAGATAATGGTTTCCTGAAGTTGAAATCCTGGAAAGTGAAGAGAAATAGACATGTCACCACACAAATCCCCAATCTGAACAGCCCCACTGTGGCAGTGAGCACACAGCCCCTCCAGCCAAGGGAGATGGCGGGTATCTGCTACCTTTTCACAGAAGGAACCCCCCCCCAAAAAAAAACTAATGTGATACTGATGATAAAAGTGGAAAGGGATGAAGAGAAGAAGGAGGAAAAATGAACATTACAAAAAAGAAGGGACATAGAAACAATGAGAGGACAACTATAATTGGGGGGCAAAAAAAAGAAAGGAGGGAGAGGAGTTGGCAAAAACTGAAACCCTGGCAAAACTCAGGGTCCTGAGAAACTTTGCAAGAAAGGGGGTGCGGTGGGCGCCCATCCCTTGTTGAGGAAGATTAATAAAGTCGTGGCTCTCTCTCTTAAGTCCTGCCCTGGGAGGGACAGTATCTGTTTAGATTTGTGTCTAAATTTAAACCCTGATCCGGCCTCCCTCCCCGGTTCCCCTCCCTAAACCTCCGCCTGCCCGCCTTCAGTCCCTCCCTCCCTCCTCCTCCTCCTCCTCCTTCCTCGTTCTCGGGCGCTGGCTCCCCTGGCCCGGCAGTCCTACAGCCCAGCACAGGCCAGCGCACGCACTGCCCTGTGCCCACCACAGCTCGAACCTGGTCCAGGCTGGGAGTGGAGGGGACAGTGGGGATCGGGAACTCACTCTGGCCCCAGCGAGCCCGCGTGTCTGGAGGACAACCTAGAGGACATGGAGGTAAAGGACCCCAGCGGTGACAAGGGGCTGGGCAGTGAGCTGGGGTTGGGAGAGGCTGATACCCCTGTTTGCAGCAAGGGAGCGCATGGGCTCTTAGCTGCTAACAAGAAGGGCCAAGGTGTGCTGCTCTAAACCTGGGTGGTTTACTCAGGAAGACTGTCTCTGGTGGTACCTAGGAGGCCCCTGAGCAGGGCCAGCAAGGGCTTGGCAGGGAAAGACCTGAAGGGAGAGAAATTAAGTTCAGCAAAGGTTGGCAAACGGGTAAAAGGGATGCGCAAATGAAACCGAAGCCCATGACTGTAAAGATGAGTACAGAGAGAGAGAGAGAGAGAGGGAGGGAGGGAGGGAGGGAGAGAATCTAGTAGAAGAAACTGAGAAATCAGAGCTGTCTGGGCTTCCTTTTTCCCTTGAAGAGTGGCCGTTTAGAAAAGCCAGTGTCCTTTCTCTTCTGAAGTCCCTCTTGAGTCAATCATTTTTTTCTCAAAACTCTCTGAAAAGCTTCTCTCACTGTGCCAATGAGACTGTGTATGTGTCAGGGTGTGCTGATCACATAGAATGGTGTGCAAGGATAAGACCCAGCCCTACTCTGCTTCTGAGAGGAGGTCCTGCACTCTTCTAACCTTCCGTGGAATTCAGACAACCACTTTCCGTGGGTGGAGTGGCTGTGGTAACTCTTATTTCTCTCTCTCTCTCTCTCTATCTCTCTCGCTCTGGCTGTGTCTGTCACTGTCTCTGCCTCTCTGTCTCTGTCTCCTTGAAACGGAGACCTGATAGTTCACTCTAAATCAAACTTTGCAGGGCCCAGGGTTTTGAGAAAGAAAAAAGGAGAAGGTGTAAATGTCAGAGAGTTTTTAAGGTGAGTCTCACTTGTGTTCAAAAGGAAACTTCTCCCTAGGCTGTGGTCTGCAGCAATCACAGGTCACAGTAACTGCCATCTCCTTCCTGCAGTGGGTTCCATGCCTGAGCCCTGGTGAGCTAGGCCCAGGCCTCCTCCTGGATATTCAGCTCAGCCAGGAACATAGATCACCTTCAGGGAGTGGACAGGACCCTGGACTTTGCTGGGGTCTGAAGATACATTTGCAAGGACAGATTAGAGCACCAGGTGAGACACACATAGCAAAGCTCAGCAGGTGGATTCCCGAGTCTACTGAAAGACAGTGCAAGCTCAAAGCAAGAGCATGCTTAGAAGTGGGTACTGCTGTAGGGCAGAAGAGAGAGATGGGGACCCACACTCCACTTGTTGGGGAAGACCTCCAAAGAAGCTGCTATAGATGTAGATTTCTTCCTCAGGGAGAATAGAGTGTGCCTGAGGACCAGGCTGGACATTCAGGAGAAATGGACCAGACCTAAGAGGCAAGAGGATTTAGACTTAGGTTGCTACTGGAGGGCCCAATGCAAGTTTTAGCATGTTCTCAGGAAGGAGAGGGGCTCCTTCCGCAATGAGCTTTTTCTTCCCTAAGATGAGGAAGGAACAGTGGGTGGCCAAGGCCCTGAAACTATCAGCCTTGCAACTTCCTGTGTGGCTTGAGATGTAGGGGCATGAACAGAGAAGACTCTCCACCTACAAGTGGGTGTGTGCACTATCTGAAAGGTGCCCAAATCCATGTGTGCTGGGGGCTGGGAGGGATGAGAACCCCTGATAGGTCAGGGGTTTTGCATCTGCTCTGGAGGAGGGATTTGCTGCCTGGGAGTGACAGCTTCTGGGTCAAAACTGCAAGAAAAACAAAACAAACCCCACTGCAAGTGTTAGTGCTGAGGAAGGAAGTGAAGGTAACTGAAGGGTAGGGAAGTGACAATTCACAGCCAGGAAGCAAACTTGTTACTGTGGGGCTCCACGTGTAGGCATAAATTTGGGGGTTCCTCACAATCTCATAGTAAACTCTTTTGAAAGGTGAAAGCCCACCTTTGAGACATGAAAGAACATTTGAGAAGAAACTGAATTATATTACTTTCCAATATTAGGAATTCAGACCGAAACTTGCTTAACATTCCTGCTCTAGGCTCCACAGACCTTGTTAGAAATATTATTTTATTATTATTATTATTGTGCTAGCCCTAGGGCTTGAACTCAGAGCCTGGGGGCACTGTCCCTGAACTTTATCATTCAAGGCTAATGTTCTAATACTTGAACCACAGCTTTACTTCCAGTTTTTTGCTGGTTAATTGGAAAAAGAGTCTCACAGACTGGCTGGCTTTGATCCTCAATCCTCAGATCTCACCGGCCTCCTGAGTAGCTAGGGTTAAAGGCATGAGCCACTTGTACCTGGGTGATGATGATGATGATGATGATGATGATGATGATGATGATAACACTTGAACTCAGGGCCTCACCTTCTCACTTGGCTTTTCTACTCTTGAGTGGAAAAGTAGAGTTTCAAATGTGAGCCACTGGCACCCAGTACCGTTATTATTATTATTTTAAGTCACTGTTATGCCATCATCAATACCTCCAATCATATCTATGGAATACATGAGGTAAAGACACTGTCTGCCATTCAAACACTCCCAATCCAGGATCTCAGACAGAGAGCACACCCTGTCATGTATAGGTTGCACATGCATGTACTAAATGACCAGTTGCTACTGACTACAAATTCTTAGTTCAGAGTAGATGACTGAGAGAAATTCAGGATAGAAGTTCTCGCAGAAGGGGGGTGGTGAGGAGGAGAAACAAAAGGAATAGATGGGTTCAGGAGAGAGCATACCAGCTTTGCTCAGTAAGTAGACCAGTTGGTTGGAAAAGAAAACTGAAAAGCAGTAAGAAAAGAAAAACAAAAACAAGACGATAAAGCCACAGGGCCACAGGGTCTCAAGACACTTGCCAAACAGGTGAGAGGGATATGAAACCCAAGCCACCTGGAGGAAGGAATTAGTCTCTTTAGCTGTGCCCCAGTGAGCTCCTTTTTCTAATTCATACAGAGACTATCTACAGCCCACAAAGCCAAAGTTAGCTAGTATATGGCCCTGGATTCTCACCCAGAGAGGTGTTGTATGAAATATAGCAGGGGTGAAATAGCAGAAATGCAGTTCAGGGAATAAGCAAGTCAGACTGGAGAGTCCAGTCTGACTTTAAGAGAGGGTAAGATTGGAAAAGATGGGGTCACCAGAGTACCCTAGAGGGAGGTATTCTCAGGCTAGGGATATAGCTCAGTGAAAGAGAACTTGCCTAGCATGTATGAGACTCTGGACTCCATTTCTTGCACTGAGAGAGACAGACAGAGAGGAGATCTGTGGGAGGGAGTTATCTTATATCTTACTAGTATTCAGAGATTGGCAAAGTCCCTAACAGCAAATTCTATATTTTCCAATACTCCTCTCTGTCTCTCTCTCTCTGTCTCTGTCTCTCTGTCTCTCTTCCTCTGTCTCTCTCTCCCTCTTTCTCTCTGTCTGTCTGTGTCTGTCTCTCTATCCCTCTATCTCTCTCTGTCCCTCTTTCTCTGTCTGCATCTGTCTCTCTCTGTCTCTGTATCTGTTTCTGTATCTGTTTCTGTCTGTCTGTCTGTCTCTCTCTCTCTCCTGTCATCACCTCTGGAAGCCCTCCCAGATGCCTTCGGACTCTACAGTGCTCTCAGAGCACTTTATTCAAACAATTGATGGAGAACCAAGGTAGAAGTATAATTGTCAGCCTAATGCCTCCCCCCAAAAGGCTTTTTTTTTTCTTTTTGCTTATGTGGTGCTGGGGAATCGAACCCAGGGCCTCCTGCATGCAAGGCAAGTGCTCTACCACTGAGCCACCTTCCCAGCCCCCCCCCCAAAGGCTTCTGGAGGACAGAAGTTATTTCTTGTATGTCTAGGGCTGAATGTGTAAATTATGTTATTAAGATGGGAGAAAAGATTAGATAATCTTTTCAGTTTATATTTTTAGAGCAGCGTTTGCATATGTTCATTTTGTTTTTACTGTTCTAGGCAGAAATTTGCAGTGCTACATGAGAAATGTAATGTGTTATTTGAAAAGTGTTTCCTTTCTAGAAAAGATAATAAGTAACGTAATTGTTGGTAGAACCTAGAAGATAGAAAGAGAGGGCCGGGCACTGGTAGCTCACTCCTGTAATCCTAGCTGCTCAAGAGGCAGAATCTGAGGATCATGGTTCGAAGCCAGCATTGAAGAAGTTTGTGAGACTCTTGTCTCCAATTAACCATCCAGAGCATTAGTCTTAAGCACAAAAGCTCAGGAACAATGTCCAAGTACTGAGTCCAAACCCCATGACCAACGAAAAGAGAAAGAGAGAGAGAGAGAGAGAGAGATTTAAGATGTTTAACTTAATAATTTTAGTTCCTTAAATGCTAATTGTAAGGGCTACCAGATAGCCCAAGGGTCCTTGAAAAAGTTAATTTTCACTAACCAAAATCTTCATTTCTCCGACTAAACAGTGGGTAACAAATTTAATAGTAGATAATTAAACTTATCTCCTCACAACCACATTTCTATTTAGAACAAACCTCTGTGAAAATTAAAATACTGTCACTAAACAAGTCATAAATTTTTATGGGGAAACTATAAATGATTCTTTTTCCCTGATGCAGTGCCAAATCCTCCTGAGATATTGTTTGTCATCCTTCCACTTATTCAATATTTATTAAGCATTTATAACATGCCAGATCTTGTGTTTAGAATATTACCCTTTAAAAAATGGGATTATAGCTGGGTGCCAATAGCTCATACCTGTAGTCCTAGATACTCAGAAGGCTAAAATCTGGGAATCATGGTTCGAAGCCAAGCAGACAAATCCAAAGGACTCTTATCTCCAATTAACCAGCAAAATGCCAGAAGAGAAGTGGCTTAAGTGATAGAGGATCAGCTTTCAGTGGAAAAGCTAAGCAAGAGTGAAAGTCCCTGAGTTCAACCCCAGTACCAGCACCAAAGCAATACGTAAATAAACAAAATAAAAATGGTCTATTGTTTCTTTTCATTCTCACAGACTGTCAGTAGTAGTAATGACAGCAATGAAGAAGAGGTGTATTTGTATAGCCTGGGGCATAGTATGTTCATTTTGTAATCT